CATCAGCAGAGGGCCACAGGAAGGCAGTACCAGGGATGCTCAGGTCTCCAGATGCATCAGCATAGGAAGACCCCCTTCTGCACCACCCACATGGGCCATGGTGCTTTGACCCAGCAAGAGGCTGCCTCCCAAGGCTGACAGGGCAGAGGGATGACCTAAGCTGAGGTGTCTGGTGTAGGAGCCTTGGAGGCAGATATCTCTGGGCCCCAGAAAGGGACATCCAAAGTAGAAGAGACGGAGTTTGAATCTGTTTTCAACTTTACAAGAAGAGAAGGAGGGAGAGAGAGATAGAGAGAGAGGTCGAGAAAGATCGATCTAGACTTATTAAGCAGTTAGACTGAAAGGGGACAGACTCAATGTTCTCAACCTGTAGTCATATAGCATGATGGCAAGGAGTGTGAACCCTGGCCCCAGAGGGCCTGGTTCAAATCCTGGCTCTACTACTAAACACCTATGTGACTTCAGGAAGGTTTTTTGCCCTCTGTGTACCTTCATCCTTCATAGCTGTCGTCTGTAAAGATGGAACGGGAGCTAGTACCTGTCTGCCAGATTTTTTTTAAATTTTTTTTTATTTATTTATTTATTTATTTTTTTTTTTTTTGGTTTTTCGAGACAGGGTTTCTCTGTGTAGTTTTGGTGCCTGTCCTGGATCTCGCTCTGTAGCCCAGGCTGACCTTGAACTCACAGAGATCCGCCTGGCTCTACCTCCTGAGTGCTGAGATCAAAGGCGTGCGTGCGTGCGTGCGTGCGTGCGTGCGTGCGTGCGTGCGTGCGTGACACCACTGCCCCGCATCTGTAGGTATTGTTGGGGAGATGCAGTGAGCAACATTGTATTTGGGAGACTGGGATTGTAGCTCAGGTAGTGGACTGCTCAGCTAGCATATATGAAGCCCTGGGATCCATCTCTGGCACCACATAAAAACAAATATGGTGGCACACACTTGTAAGGTAGAAGCAAGAAGGTCAGGTGTTCAAGGCCAGCCTCAGCTGCATGAGACCCTGTCAAACAAACAAACAAATAAATAAATGTATAGTTAGAATAATGCCTGGGAGGCTGGGGCATTAAGTTGGTAAAATGCTTTATAGGGCCAGATGTGTAGTGTACACCTTTGATCCCAGTACTCAAGAGGCAGAGGCAGGCAAAACACCCATCCATATAAAATAAAATAAAGTATTTTTCAAAGGCACATGGCATCTGAAGAACGACAGCCAAAGCTATACGCCAGCCTTCACAAGCATACACACATGTGCATCTGTGCACACACATGTGCATCTGTGTGTGCACACACACACACACTCACACACACACACTAGTACCCACTACACATTACATGCCGTGGACATGTCTTGAAGGAGAGTCCAAGCCTTCTTTGTAGGAATTCTCATTCTCATTCGGCAGGGCACTGCACATGTTGAAGGCCTTGGTAGGAAGTGGAACTGGCCGTTGGGTCCATTCTTTCCTGACTTTTCAGAAGCAGTTGCCCTCTGCCGCACCAGAAACAAGGTGGGAAGGGACAAGGCTGCGGCCTGAGCAGGACACACAGAGACATGTCTGGAAGGAGCTCCTGCTGCCTTGCCATGTACCTGGGGAACAGAAATAGGTAGCAGACATAGACTGCCTAATGTCTGCCATCTGAGGTGAATTCTGAGGAGCTGCTAGGAATATTCAGGGGCTCCTTCCCCTCACCGTCTCAGCCGACAAAGGGTAGTGCTGGCTCCGGCACTGTGGTGGCTTGAAAAAGAGTGGCCCCATAGGCTCACACATCTGAATGCAGGGAGTGGCACTGTTTGAGAAGGATTAGGAGGTGTGGCCTTGGAGGAAGCCCGTCACTGGTGGTGAGCTTTGAGCTTTCAAGAGCCCACACCAGGCCCAGCTTCTCTTTCTCTTAGCCTGTGGATCAGGAGGTGAGCTCTCGGCTACTTCTCCAGCACCATACCTTCTGCCTGCCGCCACGCTCCCCACCACGATGGTGATGGGCTAAGCCTCGGAAACTGTGAGCCAGCCCCAGTGAAATGCTCTCCTTTACGAAAGTTGCTTTGGCCATGGTGTCTCTTCACAGCAATAGAGCAGTGACTAGGAGAGGCAACTGGGGGAGGACAGACTGGCTGACAGACCGTCACACGAGCAGACTTAAAGGGAAAGAGGTGCAAGGCCCAGCAGGCAAGAGGAGAGGCCAGGGAATTTGCCTCTGGGTGGGTGCTGAGGGCAGGGCCAGGTCTCTGGGTTATGGGAAGGAGCAGGCTGGCTGCCCACGCCCCAGTGTGAACAGGCTCTTCCCTGGGAACCTTTCTGCTCTTTGGGGTGGGGGTGGGGGAATATAGAGTAGGCAGAGACAAGGCTCTGGGGTGGGGCTCTAAAAGAGCACTTTGGAGCTACTGCCGTGGGTAGCTATTTCCTCTTCCTGGGCCGCTTCATCTGTAGAATAAGTAAGTGCGTTGAGCTGGGCTGTGCCATGCATCCCTGCCTCTGGAGGCCTCTGCCATCAAAAGCTTTTGATGCTCAGTAGACAAGGGGATTGCTGTCAAGCCGGGTGACCTGAGCTTCGTCCCTGGAGTCCACATGGAAAAAGAGAACCCACTCCTGAAAATTCATTTTCTGATCTCCACATGTGCACTAGAGCACTGTATGGCAAACACACACACACACACACACACACAGGCTTGAAAAAAAGACCACTTTGTGAACATAGTCCATCTTCTGGCTGACTGTACCCCAACCTATCCACTAGGGCCCTTAAAACTTTCCAAACACACTGGGCGGTGGTGGCGCACGCCTTTAATCCCAGCACTCGGGAGGCAGAGGCAGGCGGATCTCTGTGAGTTCAAGGCCAGCCTGGGCTACCAAGTGAGCTCCAGGAAAGGCGCAAAGCTACATAGAGAAACCCTGTCTCGAAAAACCAAAAAAAAAAACAAAAAACAAAAAACAAAAAAAACAAAAAAACTTTCCAAACACATACTCCAGATGCTCTCTGTCACAGGCGAGTGTGTGATACAACCAGACCCAGGGCTCCTGCCTCCCTTGCCCAGTCCCTTCCAGGGCCCATGGGATAGACTCTGACCTTAGTCAACTCCACCTTCCCTCTCTCCCCAGGCCTCACCTGCCCCAGACCCCGGCTCTCCCCAGGATAAGGAGGAGACACCAGGATTTGCTGGAAAACACCTACAGGCAGAACCATGTCAACCCAGGTGTCAGACCCTCCCTGAGCCGCCAGCAGCTCTGACTCTGGGTACAGCCACCCCTCCCAGGACCCTGGAACACACACCCCTGCTGCTGGAGCTGCAGAAGCTGCCGGGATTGGCCAACACAGACTTGAGTGCCCCGAACCCCAATATCCAGGTGAGATTGTAGAGGAGGTGTTTGTCTAGGGGATCTCCGGAGAGGGGCTAGGCTGATGACTGAACCTCATTCTTATCCCTCGGTGACTGTGTAAAGACAGTGGACTCCTCATGCAGTATGGGAAGAGTATTTGCCCATCTCCTTGCTAGAAAGTCTCTTGGCTCCTGAGCCTTGACCCTGGATGTAGCAAGAGACAAATCCAGCAACCTGGTAGGGCTATCTTAAGGACTGAGTACGCGGACACCCTGCCCCTGATACTGCCGAGGGTCCTGGAATGTGGTGGAGACCTGCTGGCATGACCTACAGGTGTGACCCCCTCTTGGCCCCAAAACCTTACTGCATGCAGATGAGGGGTTCAGTTTGGAATGGGGGTGGTGGTGGTGGTGCTGGAGCATGGGAAAGCCCTCAGAAGGGTGTTTCAGGGAAGCCAGGCAGAAGTGGAGCAGTGTCCTTTACAGCCTATCCTGAATCTTCAAGAATAGCAGATTTGCTATTTGTAGAGCAGAATACTTTGACCAAAAGAAAGAAAGACTGCTTAAAAGTGCAGACCATTCTACAATTATTTTAAGTCTGTCTGTCTACCTGTATTAAAATAACATGTACACACAAAAATCACAAGTGTCCCGGCTAGTGATGTAATGCAGGTGATACTTTTGTTTGTCAAGACACAGTCTCTCTATGTAGCCTTGCCTGTCCTGGAACTCATTCTGTAGACCAGGCTGGCCTCCAACTCAGAGATCTGCCTGCCTCAGCTTCCCGGGTGCTGGGATTATAGGTATGCACCACCACATCTGGCTCATTTTCTTCTTTGTATTTTACTGTGTCCCCCGCCCCCCGCCCCCCCCATTTTGTTCTGTGACCTCCTATTATTTGAAAGTACCTGAGAATAATGTTTTTAAAGTTCACATTCATGGCGGTGGTTAGGTTTTTATTTTATTTTGTTTAATTTACATGGTTGGTTCAGTTGGAACACAGCACCAACAGAGGGTACTCTGGGGGAATCTGACACATGACATCTCACCCCCCCCCCCCACCCTGCTCTAGGCTCTTTCTGGTCCCTGAGGCCAGGCAGCCCATGTGTGGTAGAGGCAGAATTCTAAACAGCTTCTCCCAAACTCGTGGGCGTGGCACCTGCTGGATCCACACACCCCCCCACACACCCCCCCCCGTTCGTCTACACCCAGGTGGTTCTGACACAGAGGGGGTCCTATCCAATGCCCTTTGTTCCCTGAGAGGCCAAGATCAGGCTCGGAAGGTAGCAGGCTCCGTGGCAAGATGGGCCTTGGCTTCCGGTTCAAACCCATCTTCCCGTTGGGGTCCTTTGCTGAGCCTGCCTGGCCGGCTCACGCCTGCCCTTCCCACAGGTGACCATCGAGGTGGTGCAGGACCCCCAGGCTGAGGTAGAGATGGACCTGCCTTCTGAACCCAGCCCTGTCTGGCCCCTGCGCGCCCCCAGCTGGTGGCCCACCAGGGAGCTCTTCTGGCCCCTCTTCTGGGGCTACCAGGAAGGTGAAGAAGGAGACACCAGCCTCAAAGACACAGCCCCCGGGGAAGTGGAGGAGGAAGAAGAAGAAAAGGCCTATGCTGCAGAGTATGGTGATGGTGAGAACCAGGAGGGCAGTGAAGAGGAGGAGGAGGAGGAAGAGGAGCCTTGGTCCAGTGGGGCCACAGACAACTGGGAGTATGGCTGGTTAGGTCCTCGGGACCGGGACTTCACGGAGCCAGACAGCTATGGTGAGTGGGCCTGGCTTGGCCTCCTCCGCTATTGCCCTGAGTGGGAATGGGGTCAAGGGGGAGCGGGAGGAGGAGGAGGAGAGCTTCCCAGGCCAGGAGACCTGGGCAGGCCAGCAGCCTGGACCTCTGCAGTTACTGTTGAAAGCTCCAACCTAACAGTGCTAGAATTAAATTTTTTCCCTCCAACACTTGACTTGCACAGTAGCCCTGAGCTCCTCTGGGCAAAAGCTACTTCATAACATAAATACTCATATTTGTCAGTTTAAAAAAAAAAAAAAACTGAAAAATACTCTGTTTTACCACTCACAATGAATCTCATTTTGAGATTGTGAGTTTGACGTCTGACCCTGCTGGTTAGAGTGTTCCCAGGCAAGTCTCGTCACCCCGCTGGGTCTCAGTTCTGTCCCCTCTGAAACAGTAATCATGTATCTGAATGACGTGGGGTTGGGTGTAAGAGTGAATGAACAAGCTTCTATATAGTCGGGTAGGGTGGTACACAACCCCAGCCTCAGCACTCAGGAGGCTGAGGCAGGAGACTGCGAGTTAGAGGCAAGCCTGGGCTATGTATGGAGTTCCAGGCCTGCCTGAGCTCCCTTGAGACCTTGCCTCAAAAAATAAAACAGCTGTTGAGATGACTCAAGGGCCATAGCGCCTGAAATGCATGTATGAGGACCAGGGTTCAACTCTTTTTAAAAAAAAAAAAAAAAAAAATTTATTTTATATGCATTGGTGTTTTACCTACATGTATGTCTGTGTGAGGGTGTCGGGTGCCCTGGAACTGGAGCCACAGACAGTTGTGAGCTGCCACGTGGGTGCTGGGAATTGAACCTGGGTCCTCTGGAAGAGCAACCGGTGCTCTTACCCTCTGAGCCATCTCTCCAGCCCCAGAGTTCAACTCTTATGGAGAGAAAAAGACAGGCGATGGAGGCGCACACCTTTAATCCCAGCCCTTGGGGAGGCAGAGGCAGCTGGATCTCTGAGTTCAAGGCCAGCCTGGTCTACAGAATGAGTTCCAGGACAGCCAGGGCTACACAGAGAAACCCTGTCTCAAAAAAAAAAAAACAACAAAAAGCCAGTTGCGTGGCAGCCCACCTGTATTCCCAGCGGACAGAGGCAGAGACGGGCAATCCCCAGAGTAAGCTGACTGGCCACAGTAGCTGTGTGGCCAGCTCTGGGTTTAGCAAGGGGCCCAGCGTCAATGTGTAAGGTAGGAAGTTATCATAAGAAGAGACCCCGTTTCAACCTTGGGCCCACCCACACAGGCACACACGTACCCCCCCCCCACAACCATGTGTACCTCCACATCTGTGAACACACAGGCACTCATGCCGCGCACATACACACGCCAAAAATATGCACATAAAGTGTCAGCAAGTGATAAAAGAGCTTCCTGGCTCTCCTTATCCCTCCTGCTGGGATGGCCATTTGTACTTTTCCTGTCCTCCTTCCCATTGCCTCTGAGAACATAGTCTCGCTCACTCTGCCGGAAGCCCCGAGGTCTTGTTATCGGACTGCGGCGGTGCCAAGGGATTAGGACTTAAGTCCTGACAAGCTCTTCCCAATTTCCTAAACTGATGTAAACAGACCTTTCAGGAGTCTCAGCTTTGCCCCCATTCATCGTCCTCCAACTGCTGGCGCCAGCTGGCCTGAGGCCTGCCTTGGAAGCTAGGGAGGACCAGTGTGCCAGACCTGCGGGGTTCCACACGGAGACTCAGAGTACAGGCCTGCCTGGGCCCGGGTGTCTGCGCTCTCTCCGAGAAAGAAGGGGAATCAGGGGAATCTTTAATAATCCCAGACCTAGGAAAGTATCACCACCCTTGATTTCTGACTCCGACTTCTCTTTGTTATTATTTGGGACCGAGTAGCCTGAGGCCCAGGCTGGCTTCGACCTTAATATATAGTCAGGGGTGATCTTGGATTTCTCACCCTTCTTCCTCCGTGTCCCCACTGCCGAGATGGCAGGCATTCACCACCACACCTGGTGCTGGAGGTGGAACCCAGGGCTTTTGTTGTGCATGCTAGATAAGAACTGTCAACCGCTCTTCCTTGCTTTTTTTTTTTTTTTTTTTAAGATTTATTTATTTATTATGTATACAGTGTTCTGCTTGCATGTATGCCTGCAGGCCAGACAAGGGCACCAGATCTCATTACAGATGGCAGTGAGCCACCGTGTGGTTGCTGGGAATTGAACTCAGGACCTCTGGAGGAGCAGTCAGTGCTCTCAACCTCTGAGCCATCTCTCCAGCCCTCTTCCTTGCTTTTGATGGGCATAAAATCACTAGCTCAGAAATGTAAGGGACTTGCCCACGGTCACACTGATAGCAGGTGGGTGGCTTCTAGTCCCAAGGATCCCTGGGTTGACACGGTGGGTGGTTAGAATTTGTCCTGTCTCTGTAGGACCCCCTAATGCGTTTGCACAGGCCGGCTGTTCACTGTGCAAGGCCGTCTAGCTGAGGGGATGGGTGGGGCTGGAATCCAATCATGCCCTGTACATTTGGCCAGGGATCAAGGGGTGGTGCCCTCTGCTAATCGGCACGAGCGTGCCCCGGGGGGCTGAGTACACTCATCCTGGTCCTCTCCTTCCTCGCAGACGATGAGCCTCAGGAGGAGTGGAGCCCCTGGTCCCCCTGCAGTGGGAGCTGCCGCAGCGGCAGCCAGCAGAGAACTCGGCCCTGCGGCTACGCCTGTACCGCCACCGAGTCCCGGGCCTGCGACCTGGCCCCCTGTCCTGGTGAGATGAGCTCCAGCCCCTGCCCGAGGAGAGTGGCTAATGTGGCTCACGCCGTGAGCTGGCTCCCCCCCGCTCCCCGCCCCAAGACAGAATGTGAGTGAAAACGGGATGTGTGGAGGAGGGGTGGGCTTCGGAGACCGGTACCGGAAGCTCACGCATAATGGTGGTCCTGTCCCAGGCCTGTCCCAGATGCTGTGGGCACCGAGGACCTAGTGAGGGCTGGGCTCCCCTATCTGTCGGGAGCACAGAGGTGCCCTGGGGCGCCACCAGCCTGGCCTCCTCTCTTCCCAAAGGCACCGAAGACGAGCACACCTTGGGCTTTCCCAGTGAGGGGTGGCAGCCCCTAGCCCACAATGCTACGGATATGCTTGATCCAGGTCAGTGGGGGAGGGGGGCTAGACCTTGCTGCTGGGTCTCGGGGAGCCTCTCTCTTGGGAGGACGGGGGCATCACTGTGTAGCCGGAGTCGCTGAGCAGACCTTCCTACGGGAGAGATTGTAAGCAAGTATCCTTGCCTACCTCCAGGTTCCTATCAGGGAGGGGGGGGGCTCGATGGGAACCCCAGAGCTAGGGGATGCTGGCGGGGGTGGGGGTAAGGGGAAGAGGGGCCTTCTGCTTCTACTCCTTGGTTATTCTTTGGAGGCCCCTGGCAGACTCTGTCTAGGGAGGTACCTGTCAGACTGAGCCAGGGTTCCAACGTCCAGGGATGCTCCACGAGAGCCGCGGGTGCTCCCTGTTGGTGCTCCTGGGCCTCACCTGCACCCCCAAAGGCGTGGCTCACGAGTCTAAATTCTACATGAGTGACATGGAAGCTTCCCGAACTTGTGTCATGTACCTGGGCCTACGCTAAGGCTGAGGCTTCCTGGAGGAGGCCTGGCATCTGTCCTCAGGGAGGTCAGGTTTCCCCGGGGGACACGTGGCCTGCATGAGCACAGCACTACAGAGTGCCGTGTGAAGGTCTGAGAGCCACAGGAAAGGGTCCCTTGGTCGGTGTGGCCAGACTCTGAGGTTCCATTTTGCCGGGGGTGGGGTGGGGGTGGGGGGGGTGAGGGGGGGAGGCAGCGGATGTCGGGAGCCACAGGAAGCTCACAACAGCTGAGCAACTAACTCACCAAGGGTCCACGCCCTAAGAAAGGCAGTTAAGAATGAACCAGCTGGGGGGCTGGAGAGATGGTTGAGAACACTGAGGACTCTTCCAGAGGACCTGGTTCAATTCCCAGCACCCACGGGGCAGTCACGCTACCTCTCTGTAACTCCCAAGATCGGACACCCTCACACAGACATACATGCAGGCAGAACATCAATGCACATAAAATAAGAATAAATAAATTATTTTTTTAAAAGAATTAATCAGCTGGGTGGTGGCGGAGCACATACCTTTAATCCCAGCACTCGGGAGGCAGAGGCTGGCAGATTTCTGAGTCTGAGGCCAGCCTGGTCTACAGAGTGAGTTCCAGGGTAGTCAGGGCTACAAGGAGAAACTCTGTTTGGGAAAATAACAACAAGAAACAAATGAAGAAGGAGAAAGAGGAGGAGGAGGAGGATTATTGATCAGCATATGGAAGCAAGTAGATTAGTTCAAGGGTAGCCTTGACTACATGAGACCTTGTTTCCTTTAGGAAGGAAGGATGAAAGGAAGGAAGGAAGGAAGGAAGGAAGGAAGGAAGGAAGGAAGGAAGGAAGGAAGGAAGGGGAAAAAGGAGAGGAGGAGAGCAGACTAGTCAAAACATTGAAATGTTTTTTGGTTAAAAAAAACTGTTGTCCCAAGCAAGTTCCAGGACAGCCAGGGCTGTTACACAGAGAAGCCCTGTTTCAAACAAATAGACAAACAAAACAAAAACAAAACCCTGTTGCCTTTTTGAGCTGGAGAGATGACTGAACTGTTAAGAGCACACTGGCTGTTCTTCCAGAGGACCAAGGTTCCATTCCCAGCACCCACATGGGGGCTTTAGTCTCAGAGGATCTGACATGCTCTTTTGTCCTCCATGGGTTCTGCACATACGTGATACACAGACATACATGTAGGCCAACACCCATGCACATAAAACGAAAAATGGAAAACAAAAGAAAGCTGCCATCCTTCGCTGGAGATGTAGCTCAGTTGATGGGAAGCTTGCCTAGCACTCATGGAGCCTGGGTTCAGTCCCAGCAGGGCATCAACTGGGCATGGTAGTGGATGCCAGCAAGCTTAGCACTTGGGAGATAGACACGGGAGGATCAGAAGTTCAGAGTCATCCTCAGCTACATCGTGCGTTTGAGGCCAGCTTAGAATCTGAGACCCTGCCTTGTAGGACAAAAACAGCAAAAAAAAAAAAAAAAAAAAAAAAAAAAAAAAAAAAAAAAAGTCATTGTCACATTCCTACTTATCCCAACCCCCTTCCGTGATCCCAAGATCTTTCCCACGGCCCAGAACCTAAAGAGATGATGCCAGTGTTCAGGTGCCTGGATGGTGTGGGCTGTCCCTTTCCTGCACTTATATCTTTCTTGAGTCCTACTTCTGACCCAGAGGCCCTCCTGGGCCATGCCTTTGCCCCCAGCGGGGGGGCTTGGACTTTCTTCTCCGCGTGACTGACCTTGATCAGCCTCCTCCCTACTCTGATCAGCCCTCTCCTGTGCCTCCTTACCCTCTGCAGACGTGGACAGCTGTGAGAAGTGGCTGAACTGCAAGAGTGACTTCCTAGCGAGGTACCTGAGCCAAGTCCTCCAGGACCTGCCCAGTTGCCCCTGCGCGTACCCGCTGGAGGCTGTGTACAGTGCCGTGAGCCTGCGGGATGAGCATCAGGGTCGCAGCTTCCAGTGGCGGGATGCCAGCGGCCCACGGGAGCGCCTGGACATCTACCAGCCCACAGCCCGCTTCTGCCTCCGCTCCATGCTGTCGGGGGAGAGCAGCACCCTGGCCGCCCAGCACTGCTGCTACGACGAGGGCAGCCGGCTGCTGACCCGAGGCAAGGGGGCCGGGGCTCCGGACCTCGTCAGCACCGACTTCTCACCCGAGCTGCACTTCAAGGTAGATAGGTTGCCCTGGATCCTGTGCAAGGGGGACTGGAGTCGCTACCACACCGTGCGTCCCCCCAACAATGGCCGGGCCTGCGCAGACAACCCACCCGAGGCAGAGTACCTGGCCCAGCTGCAGGAAGCCAAAGAGTACTGAGGAGGAGAACGGTCCTTCTGCCTCCCCTGCCCTGCCCCTGCTGGGCACTGGGCAAGTGTTAGGGTTCATCTGAGAGGCCCCGTGGCCTGCATACCCCCTCTTGTGACCCTGAGTCAGGAGAGCCCAGGCATCTCAAGGACTGGTGAGAAAGTTGGAGGGTGTGTGAGGGAATGCGTCTGTGTCTGACGGGGAGGCGCCGTCCCAGTCTGGCCTGGGACCTTTTCCCTTTCTTGCAGAACGGGGCCCCTCTGCCTCTCCCTCTGCTCAGGACTGAGACAGGATGCTCCCGATGATGCTGCACCCAAGTTCCCAGGATCTGCTGTGAATCCCTCAGACCCCCCCCACCCTGTGGCCCGTTGAGGCAGAGCGTGGGGGCGGGGGACACACACAGTCCTTTCCTCTGACCCTACAGCTGCTCTCTGCTGGCCTAGCAGATCCAGGGTGACCACTCCTCCTTGTCCATGGGTGGCGCTCAGCCTCTTGTGCCTCGTCCTGTGCTGTGAGGTCCTGGGGGCTTGGGAGGACGGCTGAGCCGAGGCGGGGCGTTGATTTGAGGCAGGGAACCACCTGCTGTTTCTGGTCCTCCTTGGTTCAGGTCCCCAGATGGAAGGAATGTGCAGGATGCCACTGCCATGGCAGCCAGGCGTGGGGTGGGCTCAGAACTAGGGGTGGGCTCAGGAGGGGGTCATGTGGCTGTCGTGGCTGTTAAGCCAGGAACACGACGGGACAGACAGTCCCAGTGTTCGATGTGTGGTGTCAGTACCCCCAGCGGCGGCCCACCTAAAGCTCCCTCATGGCGCCACCGGAAGCACGGGATTTGGCCTTGGGGTCCGGAGACGTGCCCTTTGGCTCCCAACACACCTGGGCCTCTTCCCGGGCTCTTCTCATCCCCCCAACCGCACTTCTTCGTCTTCTCTGGAGCTGAAATGTCTGAAGCCCTAATATTTGTGTCTCCATTCACAAATCCCCGCCCCCCGCCCCAGAAGGACTTGGCAGGGGACTTGAGTTCCAGCCCCCCTCCACGGCTGTCCGGAAGCTGTCCTAGGATCCTCGGAAGTAAAGCACTTTATTTTCACACACTGTGTGAGAAAGGATTTGGGCCCTGGAAGAAGGGAGGGTGTAGAGGCCCTTGCTTATCTATCACCCAGGTCAAACTCCTCTTGGCTGGGCTTGCGATAGATAACCAAGCCAACAACTCCTTTTCCTAATGCAGCTGCCCATGGGGCTTCCTGAATGCAGGGACTAGACTCTCGCCATTGGTTAGGCTTGCTCACACCCAGAGCAGGCTGCCTTTGAGCCTGTCTAGCGGCTGGCTAGACCCAGAACTCCAAATCCGCGATGCACACACAGGCAAACGGCATTTACTCTGCAGGGAAGTAGCACCTCTCTCCTCCAAGAGATTAGCTTGGAGGGGGTCCAACCTGACATGAGAGGTGCACCTGTACTTTCCCGTAGCCTGTGTCCTTATCAGACCCCCTACTGTCATCCCTAACGTTTCAGGGAAAGGCAGAGTTATGGCAGGGTATTATCTTAGTCTGGGTCCAAACAACAACCTAAATATGTTCCGCTGCAAGTAGAATATTAGTGGGTGGGAACAGAGGGTCTCAGGCCATCAGGTAGGAGCCAGGGTCCCTCCTCTCTGTTCCCTAAGGAGTTCAATGAGTGCCTATAATCCTAGCCCTTGGGAGGCTGAGACAGGGAGGTTATGAGGGTTGTTGTTGTTGTTTGGTTGGTTATTTTTGTTTGTTTGTTTGGTTGGTTTTTGAGACAGGGTTTCTCTGTGTAGTCCTGGCTCTCCTGCAACTCACTCCATAGTCCATGCAGGTCTCAAACTCAAGTGATTCACTCTCTGCCTCTGCCTCCTGGGAGTGCTGGGATTAATGGTATGCGCCGCCACCGCCCGGCTGGGTTGTGGATTGTAAACTATCTCCCTGTCTATACATCAAAGTAACTGACCAACGTGAATGGATTCAGGAGGTAGAGATATTAGTTCCTCACGTTCTAATAAAGTTGCCCTTGGGGACCAAGAACAAGTTCACCACGGAGAAGGTAGACATTACCGTTGGTCGTTTTAGAGCCCGAAGAGGCAGCCGGGCAGGATGTGTCTGAGCTGAGAGGACCCCTCCCCGCTCCGCCCATGGTCCTTCTTCAGGAAAGTGTGATTGACAGGCCTGGAAATGCTGGGAGCAGGCTCAAGGGGAGCAGGGGAGCCGAGCAGCTGAAAACACTGGTGGCCAGGAGAGCATCTTAGGTTGCCTATCGAGACTTGGTCCCCCCCCCCCTGCAAAAAAAAAAAAAAAAAACAATAGATCCTGGGGATGTAGCTCAGTGGTAGAGCACCTGCCGAGCATGTATGAAAACCTGGATTCAAGCCCCGGTAACACGTGCACAGAGCACAGGACTATTTTGTGTCTGACCGGGGTCTTTCTGGCTTGTCCAGACTGGCCTCCTGAGCGCAAGTGATCCGCCTCTTCCAGCTTCTGCATGACTGGGGCCACAGGCATGGGCTGCCACCTTCTGCTCCTTTTAATTACGTTTTAGCAGAAACTTTAAAACAAACAAACAAACAAACAAACATCCCAGCGTCTCTCCATAGGCACTGCCCATTCAGCTCCCTTCTAGTAGAATTTTTATCTTGGCACTTAAATATCATCCAAACCTAATCAATGCCCAGGGGTTGTCTATTGGACTCGAAATGCCACGCTAAATTACTGCCACATCAAGCCCCAGGTGAGAGAAACCTGAAGAAAGGAAAGAGAGGTTGCCACCGGGAGGGAGGCTTGCAGGGGCAGTAGCCGATCAGCTGTGAAGTAAGTGTTTATTCAAGCTGTGCTAAGGAGAAAGAGACCCTGGGCAGGTGGCTGCAGCCTTAGGGAACACTTGTGCAGGGGGGACAAGCACCAATGACGGGGGGGGGGGGGGGGTGGGGTGGGGTGTCACTGAACCTCTGAAAGGGACGGTTTAGGAGTGGCTAGTGTCAGACCCAGGAGGCCTTGAAATCAGAGAAGGCTCTTCCTCTTCAGCTCAGCCTTGTGTCGCACACCTTGCTGACTCGGCCAGCTGCATGCCCAGCAAGAATACTAACCCCGTGAATACCCGTCAGCAAGAATACCAACCCCAGAATACCAACCCCGTGGTGAATACTGCACGGTGGAGCCCCAGCCCCCCAGCTGGTTTGGTTCCCTCTTCTCTCTCTGGCTTGCTTCACGCAGGCCCCTAGGCTAGGCGGGACAGATCAAGTTGAAAAGAGCCAGCAACAGCACAGACGTAGGATGCTTCAAAGCTTTCCAAAGATCGGATATGCCCCTTGCTTCCTCTATTACAGGTAGATTTTCTTGTTTGAAGTGCTTCTAAGAAACGAAATGCTGACAACTAGAGTGAGCTAAGACACGAAAATGCAAATGTGTGGGCCAAGCATCTACACTTGGAAAGTAAAAATCTCTATAAAGGTGAAGTCTGGGATTCTGTATAGAACAGGGTTCCCCCAGGTGACCCTAAGGTATGGAAACCCATTGTTCTGGGCACGGCCATCTGAACTAAACCAGTATGTCATAGTATGTTTTGTTTGTTTTGTTTTTTTGAGACAGGGTTTCTCTGAGTAGTCTTGACTGTCCTGGAACTCACTCTATAGACCAGGCTGGCCTAAAACTTCACCTGGCTCTGCCTCCCGAGTGCTGGGATTAAAGGTGTGTGCCACCACCACCCGGCCCATAGTATCCATTTTGATTTAAGGGAAAATAGCTGAGGTTGGTCGTGAGTCCAGAAGTCAGCAGACACTAGGTGTTGCCAAGTGCATCCTTAGTTAGTTAGTTTTTAAAGACAGGGTCCCTTCTGTAGCCAGATCAGGTTAACCTTAGGTACTCTCTACATAGACCTGTCTGGGACCAGTGTGACCAGTGTGGCCCTGGTATTGTGGCGATCCTTCGGCCTGTGCTTCCTGAGAGCTTCGATCACAGGTGGACACTGTCATGCCCCACTCCATTCCTTGCATGGTCTTCCACGGTACCTGGTAACACGTGTTATCAACATTTATAAACTAGGACATTGGCCTAGCCAGCTGGAGAGTGGAAATGTTCACCATTCAAAACAAGTCAGTGGTTTTCTCTTTCACCATGGGCATCTTGGGCTCAGATGGCTGTTACTAGTAGACACAGCAAGAGCTGACTGGGGATATGAAGCGTGTCACCCGACAGGCACACTGCTGCGTCCGTCTATACCAAGGTGGCGTCATCCCTTCCCGTTTTTCTGCACTCTGAAACAGAGACAGAGGTGGCGGGGCTCTGGTTTTGGGTTGTGTTAGAAAGGGCTCATTGATTAAAGGTGGAGTCCAGGGTCTCTGTCAAGGGTCTTCTATGTCCCTTGCAGGCGGATGGAATGCCAAATTAGATGCAGTATTAGCCTAGGGCTTATCTGAATAATTTAAGTCACGATGATCTGAACTGATCTGGTTTTAACTATAAAATTCTGCCAAGTCATCTAGGCTTAGCTTGCAGGCCTCAGCACCAATGAAACGGGAGATGAGTAGCTGTCTTAAGGGAGCGCGGATTCATGCTGGGGTGGGGGTAAGCTGGGGCAGGCTCGGTGGGAGTCACTGCTTACTCAGTTCACTTTTCCTGCCATGTGGACCCCACTGGGAAGGACTCCCACAGCACTTGGCCTGGAGCTCAGCACGAAAAGGACGTGGGCTCCTTCCTCCTTTTCAGGGTGGAATACTAAGAGGCCTGGGACTTCCTACTCCAGGAGGGAGAATCACATTCGGGAGGTGCATCCGAGTCTCTGTGGGGATGAACACGGCAAGGCAGTAGGCCGAAGGTGAGCACCAGCTCTGTGGTGATAGTCTGCATTCTAAATGTCAGCCACGCTCAGCACTGGCTGTTGGATCTGGGCTCTTAACCTAAGAAGCCAGAGGCAAATAAATAACATACATTAAAAGGATCACGTGGCAGTAGGCTTCTGCAATTCCTGCATTTAGGAGTTCAAGGCCAGCCTGTGTTATGTAGCAAGATCCTGCCTTAAAAACAAAACAACAGAAAAAACAAAGCAGAGGAAAAAGAAGTTCAAGGATTAAGTTTTATGAAATGGGTGACCAGGTGTCCCAGGGCTTTATGGAGATTAGACAGTCAATGAAAGCAGACTGTGAGGTCTGGGACACAGCAGCTCTCTATGAGGCCACCACTGGTCATCTCCATCTCTGAATACCACCTGAGGTCATCTCTGTAGAGGTCAGAGTCCAAGACCCATGCCACCATCGTGTACTTTGTTAGTGCTGTTTATTCCAGAGTGCCAGCCCTCCTGTGTGAAATAAACTAGCTCAAGAATCCTGCTGTTCCTCTCTACCCCCCACAAAAAAAGATGGATCTCAGTGAGTTTGAGTCCAGCCTGGTCTACGAAGCAAGTTCCAGAACAGTCAGGAATGTTACACAGAGAAACCCTGTCTCGAAAAACCAAAAACAAAAGAACCATGCTGTCATCAACAGCCACCACCCTTTGCGCTTTTCAAATTTTTATTCTGTGTGTATGGGTGTTTTGCCTATATTTTGTCTATGGAGACCACATACATGCAGGAGGCCAGAAGAGGGCATCAGATCCCTTAGAACTGGAGTGACAGGTGGCAGTGAGCTGTGTGGTGCGTGCTGAGAATCGAACCCCCGTTCTCTGCAAAAGTAGCCAGTGCTCTTAACCACTGAGCCATCTCTCCAGCCCCACAACTGATAGGGTCTCATATAGCCCAGGTTAGCCTTGAACTTCTAATCCTCCTGTTTCCCCCTCCTGAATACTAGGATCATAGGAGAGGCTTCAAACTTCATGTATTTGTTCAAATTCAAAATCTTCAGGGAACAGAACACTCGGCTCCCAGTCAACACAGATTATAAGAAATGCATGCTTTTAAAATCTGTTTATTTAGCGTATGTACACATAAAAGAGAAATCACCCTCAGATCCCACCCAGCAGAAAACATGCACAAACCCAAGGTATACGTGGAAGGGAGGGGCCCCAGCCCCAAGTTAGCTGTCGGGATGGTGCAATCCTGTGAGTCACAAACCCCTCCTGAACGGCTGGACTGAAGTGTCGACAGGCTGGAACCCCGCTGCTGCGGCCCTAGAACAAGCGAGCGCCGTAGCCAAAGGTCTGTTTGATGCCCTCAAAGTAGTACCGCTGCCAGCCTTGCCGCGTCCGCTCTTCCTCGGGAGCAGGGATGCCCCGGCCTTCCATGCACAGCTCTGTCTCTCCGTTCTTGTCCAGGAAGGTCAAGGTGATGGTAGCAAAGTGCCCTGTGGGAAGGGGGTTTTCAGACCCAGAGCTCCTGGACGAGTTTAAACGGGGCGACAGTGCTGGGGGACGATGGCAGCGAGCCTTACTCACCCTCCGGCCACGACTTGAACCTCCACTTCATAGCAATGTGTTTCTCAGGGACCTGGAACAACGGGGAAGCTCGGTCTAGAGAGGCCACGGTGCACCCCGCCCGGCCGGGCAAGCCGTCTGCCTCTGTGTGTGTGAGTGACTGTCCCACTTGCAAGAAAACTCAGACTACAGCACTGTTTGGAAAGTATCACAGAGGCCTCAAGTTTTCCCCAGAAAATGGAGACACACACGACTCTAACCGAATGGAGGTGACAACCTGGAAGAGGTAGGACTGAATGACTCACCAGATCAGTGAACTCTCCAGTGACGTTGCCGTCGACCATGTGAAACTTCCCACCTTTGTCTGCTTCTAAGGCCGCGGGAGCATGGGTAAAGGCCTGGACCAGCTGCAGGGAAGCAGGAATTGGAACAAGATGCATGGCTCTCACTCTCAATGGGACTCGGGCCAACGGCAGTTCCTCAACTCTTCCCTGGAGATTTCACTCTGCCCGTGAGGACGTTCTGGTCTCCCTCTGTTCTGGTCCTCTACAGACTAGGCTGGACCTCAGGAATTCTGAATCCATGATGCTATTACTCTACGCACATACTTTTTCTTTCCTTGTTTTCCTCCCTTCCAGTACACAAGTGTCGTATCACTGAGCTACCCTACCCCACCCCCATTCACTCTTCTAAAGAATGCAGTGGCTCCTGCTGACATGCCCCCAACTAGTACAAACAGAAAAAAAATGTGAGTGTGTGTGAAAATGCCCTCCACCCCTGCCGGTCTAAGAGGCCTTCCCAGTCCACTTAGCAGCAGAGCCCGGCACCTAAGGGCCCTGAGGTGATGGCAGCTCACTCACCTCCTGGGTGGTGAACACTCTATAGAGCTCCTCGGGTGACGTCAGGAAGGTCTCTCGAAGGGTGATCTTACAAGTGGGGATTTTGACACCAACAGGTTTGGCCTGGCTTTTTGAAGGAGCAGCCTTCACCTATGAAGGGGGTGAAAAGGGGTGACTTTAGAGCTGGTGAGATCTCAATCAACACAGCTGCAGGGACAACTCATTCGCTCGCCTAGAAGCCTGCACCCCCAAAGCTAAGCAGTCCAAGGGGTTAAAGGGAGTTTGTGCATGTCATGTTTCCGTCACAGGAGAACTTTCCAGAAACACCTTTACTAGGATCTTTAAGAAGAGTCTAAGAGTGTGTGAATGTATACCACATGTGGTACCTGCATAGATCACTGGATTCCATGAGAGCCATCTCCCCAGCCCCTAGGAAGTACAAGTCCTCTTGTACTTATCACAAAACCCACCAGACAAAGGACAAGTCAATCTTGGGCATTTCAGAGCTCAGTGCAACTGAAGTAACTGGATAGGGGAGCTGAGGGCATAGCTCAGCAGCCTGAGATGCTCCACATACACGAGGCCCTGGGATTCACCCCAGGACAAGAAAGGAAAGGAAGGAAAAGTAAAGGACAGAGAGACAAAGACAAGAAAAGGAAGAGAGAGAAAGGGAAAGGAGGGGAAGGAGAAAAGCAAGCAGGCTGGATGCAGTGCTTTCTGGAGTGTTCTTCACTGTGCTTGTCGACAAAAGGATGCAGGGCTCTAACCCAGGCGCTGAGTCGGGACCCCCAGGATCTGCTCTAGATAAATCATGCACTTGCTCCACAAGCAGAATGAGATGAATCAGTTTCCCGTGGAGGAAGGCAGCAACCTAACCCTGGGACGAGATCCTTAACATTCAAGTGCGAAATGCCAACTCCCCAGTTAGAAATGACGCTAAGAGCAGCGGACTGGTGCTATGTGCAATCACAGGCCACCCTTCACTGTCCCTGATGGCTTCCCTCTGCTCCAGGGGTCCACCATCAACCAATAAAGAACAGGTTAGGAGACTGGAGGGATGGCTCAGTGGTTAAGAACACTGGCTGTTCTGCAAAGGTCGCAGCGTCCATTCCCAGCACGTCCACTAGGTGGCTCACAACTGCTGCATCGCCGCAGTTGAAGGAGACCTGACACCCCTCCTGCAAGGCCTTCAAGGGCACTTGGTGAACACACAGACAAGTTCAGAAATAAAAATAAACATGTAAAATAAAACTGCACCAGGTTACGACACTGAGAGCAAACTATATATTGCAGTCTCTCTAAGAAAGCACCCACACGGGCTGCTCTGGCTTTGGAGTCGGGGACACAGAAAAGCTGATGTGGCACATGGCGGCGCTCACTCTCTCCCTCTGCAGAAGGCGGACGGCATCACCTGGGAACACTGCTTACCTTGCACACCTCAGGTTTTGGTGCTGGCTGACCCACCGGGTCTACGGACTCTCCATTCACTGTGGGCAAGATCATGCCCTGAGTGAACTCTGCAAAGACAAAATCCTTATTAATCTCTTAGCTGACACAGGACGTGAGACAAACACAGCTGTCATAACCGGAATTAAGGAAAAGCCTGCATTCTCTCTCTCTACCCTAGTTTATGCCCAACAGATTATCTCAGTGTACAGAATACAGTAGCATTATCTTAAAAAGCTTAAACCCCTGATGAAAATGGAAACATTACAACGTCTTTAGTCTCTACTATAAAAGAGACTCACTAGTCACAACACTGGAGTCTCAGTTCTCACTAAAAATGATCAATTTCAAGGCTGGTCATAATATGAACTCCAACACCAAGATCAGAAGGATGTGGTAGAGGCGGAGTCCCCCAGCACATCTGGGTTAACCCCTCTGCATCTAACTATGTCAACTTCCTGGAGGAGGAGGACCAGCAACAGTCCAGGATTACTCTAAAGTAGTCTTTAGATCGGAGCTGTCTGATAGAAACATGTGTGTCTTACATGTAATTTAAGACTTCCAGTAGTAACATGAAAGTTAATGTTCAAGGTAAAGTTTCACTAGTATATTTAACCTAATCATATTATCTAATGTTACTCTAAAATAACTATTGTTTCAATGGCTATCAATCTTTTTTTTTTTTTTTTTTGGTTTTTCGAGACAGGATTTCTCTCTGTAGCTTTGGAGCCTGTCCTGGAACTCACTCTGTAGCCCAGGCTGGCCACGAACTCAGAGACTGGCCTGCCTCTGCCTCTCGCGTGCTGGGATTAAAGGCGTGCGCCACTACCGCCCGGCTCAATGGCTATCAATCTTTAAATTGAGATATTTTACACTGTTTTTTTTTTGGCACCGTCTCAAAACCCACTGTGTATTTCACACTCCCAGCACACCTCACTTGGGTCAGCCTGACAGCCAACTCCATTAGACAACACAGCTCAGGATCTTCCTCTAACTCGGAGCTTTTAGATCAACTTCACCCCCGACCCTCACACCCCATCATTACCCATCTGCCAGGGGAAGGGCAGTCCAGGCCCTCTGTCAAGGTCTGGCAGTGGAAGACAGCCTCCTCAGGCAGAGTTCTAAAAAGATACCTGTTTTGAGGGTGCTGATGTAAATCCCCACTGCTTCTCTTAGAAGTTTCACCCCTTCTTCCTTCATTAAGGCCACGAGATTTGTGTCAGGCTCGTCTTTGGCAAGGCTCACACTAATCTGAGTGAGAGATCAAGAGCAGGTGATAAAATGATTTAAGGAGCAGTCAAGAAGCCGCTGACATTTCCACAGGAAAGGTGTAGAGCTGCCACGTTTGTCCAATCCCAACAACATTCCTTCTCCACTCCTCTCTGCCAGGGCAGAGAGGGCTAATGTTACAACCCATTTCCCTAGCCAAAGCAGAGACACCGACTATGTACACATTGCTCTGGAAGTTTCCAAAGGCACCAGAGAGCCTTAGACTCATCTCAGATTGAGCTTTAGAATGGTTAGCCTAAGCCTTGGCTATGAACGGTGGGGATGACCACTTTTCTCATCTGAGACTATACAGACAGGGAGGACTCAGATAAGGAGTGAGGAAACACAAACCTCCACTTCGTCCACACTGTTCTCATCCGACAGATTGGGGATTTCCACGTGGCCTTTGTATTGCACTCCTGACTTAGAGGTACCTGTGCAAAGCAATGCAATTCCATTAGCCTCCTCCTCGGCAGGGAAGGCCCTGCCAGGAACACTGTCCACTTAGAGCTTCTTTAACCCCCATTCTAAGCTGCCCCTCTATCCTCAGAGAGTGCCAAATGCCAGAAGCAACCATCAGAACCCCAATGTCTTTTCTCACCCCATGGAAAGATCTAATGGGGCATTACAGCATGGCCCTGAGAGCTACACAAATCGGGTAGTAGCTCAGTTCTCCCAGAGTCTGTCGGGTAGCCACGAGCATCAATTCAGTTTGAACAGCTGTTCTGAAAACAAGCATTTATCCAATATGACTGATATGTTAGGGAACAATCTGTTTATAGCTATTTCATATTTGCTTCTATGTGAGTTCATCATTGAGAAATAAGAAGTGAACAGAGAAAACTATAACCAGGTGAAGAGATGCACAGAAATAAATGAGAGCTCATATCTCAAAACATCTGTCAGGTAATGTGCCATTGGTGTGATGATCCTTCTGCCTCAGAAGACCTCCCTTCCAGGATCTCACAAGAGCCTTCAAGCTGCAATCCCTGTGATGCCCACGGACACAATGAAATTTCAATCAAAGAAAAACCATCCCGATTACAATATACATGTACTTAATACTCATCACATGAATAAAACTCTACTATCAATTCTTAGTTTCTATAGTTTAAATTTGTGTGTGTGCGCATGTGTAAGCACATCTGTATGCAAGGGCCCTCAGAGGCCAGAGACACCAGATCCCTCTGAAGTTGGAGTTCTAGACGGCTGTGAATTGCAGGATGTGGTTGCTGGGAACCAAACTCCAGTCTCTCCACCCCAATTTCTTCATTTTAAAATCGTGTCACTGATGATGTTTTTTTGAAGGTGTGTTTCTTTCCCTTTCCCTTTAGAACTCACAGCCATTTTCCTACCTCAGCCTCCCAATTGGTGGGACCACAGGCACATATCACCACATCAGATGGGTACTGTATTTCTTTTTTTTCTGACAGGGTTTCTCTGTGTAGCCTTGGCTGGCCTGGAACTCGCTCTGTAGACCAGACTGGCTGGGGAACTCAGAGGTCCACTTGCCTCTGCCTCCTGAGGGCTGGGATTAAAGGTGTGCACCACTACCGCCCAGCAGGTACCGTATTCCCAATTCTATCCTCTCTATAAACCTGTGGTTTCTTACTGCATGACTGTTGCATAATGCACTCATTAATTTTTAGGAACACACATTAATTATGACAAAACTAACTCTACATCCAAATAATACTTACTTATCAGCTACAATAGTACAGAGGTCTAACATGGTAAGATTCAAACTGGAGTTAGAAAGTGATTGAAGTTAAGAGAACAAACGAAAAACCGCTCCCTCTTAAATCATTCATAAGACACAAATGAAATAAACTAGCCTGAGACTCTATCACCTTATGAATCCTAACACAGAACACGGTCCAAAGACCCAGTGCCCCGTCACTTCACTGGTGGGAACCGATGAAACTCAGAGCGCAAACGAACACATTTGGTGTCCCCCAGCAGCACCCAAAACTGCTTTCCTCCCAAGCAGCGCTGTCTCCTCCCTTCAAGGGTTTGCCACTGCTCAGAACCTCCTCTCCAGCGAGTGGAAGAGCCACAGAAACGGAGCTAACCTCGGCTCCGTCAGCCCGGCTGGTCCTCACCTGTCCAGTTCAGTTTGATGGTCCACTCATAGAAGAAGATAAGTTTGCCTTTCCGGTTGTTAATGGAGGCCTCTCCGTCAAGCTTGTTCACCTCCGTCACCTCACACCTGCCCTGCTCATTTTCTACTCGCACGGCCAGGAACAGCGTTTTCAGCTTCTCCGTGGACCAGTTGGAAGCATCCCTTTCTGTCCTGCAAAACAGAAGCAGAGATGGGTAGCAGTCACCGGGGTGGGGGTGGGGACCATGATGACGGTGACGAGGACACACTTTTCATGCCGCAAGGAAGCGCAAGGTTAAAGGAAGCAGAAAAGACCAATAACAACGAACCCTCTAAATTCTACCCCAGTGTGTCCACACACAGGCCATCTGGGGAAGCCAAAGGGCGGTGAGTTATGGACAAAGGCAGGTGCTGTGACAAACCAGTGCTAAGTTGTTCTCTCCAGGCTCAGTCAGATGACCCTCGATTATCAACATGGCGCCCCCATCTGGCCAAGAGGAAAGCTGTGACCACACTGCTGAAGCCAGGAGAGCAAGCATTTCGCTAAGAGCCTCAGTAACTAAAAAAACCCAACAATGCCAGCCTCGTTAGCAGAGTTCTGACCCGTCTTATTCAGACTTTTTTAAATGCCCTAAACATTCTATGTCCTCTAAACAGTGTCACAAAGTCCACTGGGTAAGAGGGGACAGGGTGAGGGGGGAAAAAAAAAGAGCGGAAAATCAATTCTTCGCCCGTCTATTAAAGCCATGTAAGCAAAAAGCAGCGGCAACTGAGTAAAACAAAAAAAATAGTTTTGAGTAAAGTTCAGTTGCGCTCCAAATAACATAGCTTCTACGAGATTTCATAAAGATAAGGAAGCTTCTAAGAACAGCTAGGCTGTAAAATCATGACTGCCCGGCAACCTGGAGTTACAACAGAACTTAACAGTTCCGGGTGAGAGGCTGCATTGCACGCATCGCGTTCAGCATCCCGAAGCTCCAAGCGCCCTGCAGATCACGTTCCAAAGCGTCTCCCGCTGGACGGAGGCAGCGGTCCCCTATGACTTTTACTTTCCACTGTAACCCACAGAACAGTAACCACCGCGTCTGGGGGCTGCTCCGAGACCTCCCCAGCCAGCAGTCAGCCTCCCCACACAATCGGCAGGGGTCTGGATCTCAAGGACGCCTGCGGCCACGTGTAGGAAGTATCTCCGGGCTCAGCCTGGCTGCAGCAACTAGGGCGCTCTGTTCTGTTCGCTCTGAGATTCCTCCTCGGGGACTCCGCGGTCTACGTCGCACCCCTCGCCCTAGCCAACACCGCACCGCACCGCGAGGGTGGCGAGGGATGGAGAGGACCCCGGCTACAGGAAGGACCCACGCCCAACCCCGGGGCAGGGCTGTGTGGGCCCCAGATCTGCACACGCCAAGGTCCCGGGCACCCCCAAACCCCAGCCTGGAAAGCAGCGCTCCCGCGGCCTGTCTTGCTGCTGGCCCTTACCAGTGCCAGTTGTTGACGTTGGTGGCGTCCGCCCGCTCCTCCACGATCCAGCGTGGGTCTCCCTCACCCCACTTGGCCATCAGCTCACTTATCGCACCGCTACCAGCTCCCAAGCAGCCGCAGCCACAGCCTCAGGACCGCTCGGTCCCAGCCGCCCGGCAGCGCCTGGAAACTACTAGAAGCGGCAGCAGCACCTCCTGGCTTGCTTTTCCCTCCACCCCCACCCCCTCCCCGCCTTAACTTCCGGCTCCTCCTCACTCCTACCGGGTACTTCCGTTCCGGCTCGCCGAACCGTGGGTTCTGTAACTTCTGGAGTTCCTTCAAAGCTCTCTGTTTGATCTTAAAAGGCCTCTGAAGTCTAAGCCCTCAAACTACCAATCCTCACCGGTAGGGACACAAAATAGTCGTCTCATTGTTTCCTTGGGGCCTAAACTGACCCTGCTGAGCCTGATGGGAGTTGTAGTCTTGTTAAACGATCCTTCCGATAACTGCGGAAGGTCACGCTGAAAGTAAAGGAAATGACCTGGCACGGTGCGCAAGCGTTTCTGGGAATGGTAGTCCAGAAGCCCCGCGGCCCATCGGGAGAGCGCGAAGATGACAGCGGCCAAGGAACTGCAACTCCCAGGATGCTTTGCGGCTCTTCCTTTCACCTTCTTCAGCCCCTCTCGCGACCGTCCCCTTCGGCCCCTTCTCTATGCCGCACAGCCTGTTTAGAAAGGCTGGTCCGGTGGCTGAGCCTGGCGCTGTCCTGAGCGGGAGGGCTCGGTGTGGAAGAGGTGAGGGTGTCCCAAGCCCGTGTCTGGGCCGCGTGTCTAGTTGAACCCACCCTTTCCGCATCCTTATTCCTTCCCTGTCTTTGAGGCATCCCTGCGTTCTCACTCCCGAGCTGATTCTTCTGGTCCAGGACCGTTCTTGGGAGTCAGCATGCTCGGAGCTGGAAATTTCCAGTGAGCAATCGGCAGCAGCTAGTTGAGAACGTAGCATCTGGTTCTGAACGAGCATGTCCTCTCCCAAGGTCTCTCCAGGCTCTGGTGTTGGCCGTGAAGGTGTGACTTCCTGGACGTTCTTCTTGTAGCCTAGGAACAGTGCCTTAAGAACCTAGCCTCGCTTCTAGTAGCGGGTTTCTACAGTGCCCCGAGACAAGGATGGGTTGTGGGGTTTTGTTTTTGTTTTTGTTTTTTTTAACGGGTCCTGTTTTCCCTGTGTCATGTTTCTGTTTACCTTTCTTATCTGTCGCCCTACCCTTGTGGGCTCTCAAGTACAAGGTGATGATAAGATCAAACCTCGGAAACATTTTAAACCACGTTCAAACACCCTTTTTCCGTCACTCTGAACAGTGTACGGGATTGCTTTATGCCTTCTTAGAGTTATTAAATGTGATCACTTTGCTTGCCAAGTAAATCATAGTCTCTTTTGCCGCTGGAAGTACAAATTGATACAGGGTATGCATTGCCATAGTCTGGTTAAAGGTTCTAGAAATTCTCTCGTGGAATATTTGTTTTGTTAGGCACATTCTGTGCTTATTCGTATACTGTAAAGATAAGCCGTACTTTTCCCAAAAGTAGGGGAAAAAAAGGTAGAAGGGTCATGAAAGACAGTGTAGAAATAGCCTAGGGGCCAGAAAAACCTGGATTGTAGTTTGGACTCAGAGTGTTTAGGCCTGGTCAGTGGGAATCTCCCAGGAGGCCAAGTGAATGACAGAGTTATTTATGAAATTGCACACATTCTAGAGACATGTATTTGTTCTATACACACCTTCAATATTTATGACCTGGTTTAGAATTTCTTTTAATTTTTAGGTTTGCTTTTTAAATGTTTTTTACCCCCTTTTTGGAGGCTGGGAATTTAGCTCTGTGGTAGAGTGCTTGACTAAAATGTGTGAGGCTCAAAGTTCAATTCCCACCAGTGCAAAAAAATAAATGAATTTCTCTAGTTTTAGCTGGGCAGTCAGTGATGGCGTACACCTTTAATCCCAGGACTAGGAAGACAGAGGCAGGCAAATGTCTGAGTTCGAGGCCAGCCTGGTCTACATAGTGAGCAAGTTCTAGGACAGCCAGGCCTACACAGAGAAACCATGTCACCGTGTCTCAAAAAGCAAACATCAAAAAAATTCTCTAGTTTTATCTAAGGTACCATTTAAGATTAAGTAAAAAGAGCTAATGATGGACACATTAGCTTCCTGCCAGGCAGTGAGCACTTTGCATGTATTTTCTAATTTAGTCCTCATTCTTGTTAGGCAAGCTGTCTGCTATGCCTTATAAGCATTATAAATAATATATAATATATATGTGTTATATTTTACATGTCAGTAAGGTTGCCCAAAAGGTTGTAAAGTTAAGTGTTTATGTTCTGCTAGGCATTTTGTTAGGTTTTTAGAATACTATTTATTTTTCACTATAAGCGAGTCAGGCAAGATAGCATTTCTCCAAGGTTTTTGACTCTGAGACCCTGTAGCCATACTTAGTTATTAGGTTAAGCCACAGTTTTCACTCTTATCCAGGTTAGTTCGAAAAACTTGTTTTTGCAGAACAATACCTAGAGCAGTTAGAACAGTTATGAGAAGAATTTGGAATCTCTTGGCTAATCTTATATTTTCTTTCCTTGGTCATGAAATTGACCCCATAATTGGCCAAGTGATTAATAAAATAATCATGAGTTGATGATACAGGCAAGATAATTCTGATTCTTTTAGTTGTTTTCCCTTCATTTATGGTAGTTACTTAAAGAGCATACGGGGAGTGAGGGACATTCGTTGGCTGTGGTCAACTGTAGTGTCCCCAGAGCTTAGAAGAGTGTCTCAGGTTAATACATGAAGTCACTTTTTCTGTTTGGGGTGAGCTTTGGCTGATCTTTGTATGTTCGGCAAACTTATGACAAGTCTTAGAGCATTTGCCTCTCTTACAACATCCCACTGGTTTGGGTACTCTTGCTCTAACGTGATCCTTCAGGAGGAAGACTGTCTTGCAGTTTTTATAGTTCTTACAACACCTGAGAGTATTTGAACACAATAGGGGTTCTAGGAATGAATGTTTGTGTCTAACTGGAGTTTCTAACGCGATCTGATGAGTCTAACTTCTATGGCAGGTACTTTACCATTCTTTCCTACATCCGTTATTTCTGGGAGCAGTTAGTAGTGTAACACTTTATAGAGAGCTCCAAAAGGGACCTGTACCTGTCTTCCTTTCCCGCCAGATGAACCGGACAAAGGGTGATGAGGAAGAATATTGGAACAGCTCCAAGTTCAAGGCTTTCACTTTTGATGATGAAGATGATGAGCTCTCACAGGTAGGTGTCCACAGTGCTAAGAATCATAGTTTACTCTTGAATGCCTTTCGGAAATTTCTTCTCATCTTCAGTAGGCTCACAATGTTATGGCTCATAATCTTCAAAAAAGCCTGTATGTTAGTACCCTTACATGAAAGGCCCAAGATAACCAACTGATCCAGAGAAAAGCCTTATTCTGGCTCAGTTTTTAGGGTTCTAGATTATGATTGGTTGCTCTGCTTTGGACCTGGGATAGGCAGCACATTGTGGTGCAGTCACATGATAGAACAAAACTGCTTACCTCATAGCCAGAAAATGGAGAGAAGGGACAGCATGGGGTCCCATAATCCCCTTTGAGGACACTCTTCAATGGCCCAAGGATCTCCTACTAGGCTCCACTTCTCCGGCTCTACAGCCTCCTTATAGGGCTGTACTGAAGTCCAAACTTTTAACATATAGGCCTTTGGACGACCTTCAAAATCCAAACTATACAGTGGCCCGTGAAATGGCTCAGCTGGTAAAGGTGCTTGCCGGAAGGATGGTGACCTGAGTTTAGTCTCCAGAACCGACTCCTTACAGTTGTCTTGCTTGGTTAGGTTTCTGTTGCTGTGACAAATATGATGACCAAAAGGAACTTGGGGTGGAAGTGGCTTATTTCAACTTAGAACTCTCTGGTCACACTGTCACCGAGGGCAGGCAGGGCAGGAGCTGGAGCAGAGGAGGTCTGCTGACTGGCTTGCTCATCCTGCTCTCTTGTAGCACCCAGGACCTCCAGCCCAGGAGTGGCACTGCCCACAGATGAGTCTAGTGGGGTCATTTTCTCAACTGAGGGTCCCTTTTCCCAAGTGCCTCTAACTTGTGTTGACATAAAACTAGCCAGCACCACCTGTCTTTCTTGTGAAGTGGAATGGGCACACCTATACATACACATGATACATGCATGCACACACACTAAATTAAAATTAGAAACAGATACAAACTATGGCAGCCTTCATGAAGAGAAGCCTTTAAAAAAAGGAGCCAGAAAGATTATAAAAGCTAACTTTATCATTCTTACTATTACCTTAAAATCACAGATTGTTTATTCAAGTGATTTAGTTGGTGAAGACCTTGAACTTCTGATCTTCCTGCCTCTGTCTCCTTTTTTACTTCTTTTCTTTTTGGTTCTTTTTGAGACAGAGTTTCTCTGTGTCACAGCCTGGCTGTCCTGGAACTCACTGTGTAGACCAGGCTGGCCTTGAACTCACAGAGATCCACCTGCCTCTGCCTCCCAAGTGCTGGGACTAAAGGCGTGCGCTGCCACCATCACCCGGCTCCTTTCTCATTTCTAAAGAATTTTTATTACATGTACTCATGTGTGAGGGAGCACATGAGCCACTGTTTGCGTGTGGAGGCCAGAGGACAGCGTGTAGGAGTCAGTTCATTCCTTCTACCATGTGGGTCCTGAGAATTGAACTCAGATCATCAGGCTTGGTGGCAAATGTCCTTACTTTTGAGCCATCTTATAGGTTCATGTTTCTTTTCATTTTCACTCCATCTTTCTTTCACAGGGTCCCACCTTATAACCCTGGCTGGCCTCACTCACAGAGATCTGCCAGCCTTTGTCTCTCGAGTGCTGGGATTAAAGGTGTGCTGCTGAATCCACCGTGCCCAGTTTTTTTTTAACTAAATTTTTTGTTTCTTTTGTTATAGCTGCCTCCGTCTCATGAGTGCTGGGATTATGAGTGCTGGCATGTACCACCACACCCAGTTTCTATCATTGTTAGTTTTGGTGATGGGATCTTGTGTGTTTCTTTGACTGATGGAGAATTCTTGGGCTCAAGCCATCTTCCTGCTTTTGTCTTCCTGGAAGTTGGAACCAGAGGTGCACACCACTGCTCCTTGATAACTTGTTTTTGAAAAACGACCTGTTTGGGAATAGTCATTTTTGGAGAAGTGAGTAGTATTCACGCAGATTTGCAGACAAGTTATAGAATATGATTAGAATTCGAAAGTGACTTCGAGTCTTCCACCAACTGCAGTGGTGTCTAGGTGGGATTTGGACGTAAGGTACAGTACCTACAGATGGTTCTTGGCACTGAGTCCCAGCTGCTCAGCCTTCTTGGTTTTCAGTGGGACAGGAGGGAAGTGCGAAGTGCCAGACTACTCTGCTTTATGTCCCTCTACAGTTAAAAGAATCCAAACGGGCAGTGAATAGCCTTCGAGACTTCGTGGATGACGACGATGACGATGACCTGGAGCGAGTCAGCTGGACTGGAGAACCTGTGGGAAGTAAGCTGAAGGAGCCCTACGAGGGGTTCTTGTCAGTAATGAAGGCTGGACCGCTCTGTCTCCTCAGTGCTGGTCCGAAATAGCGCTGCTCTTCTCAAATGGTGCAGCCTGGAAGTTAGCAGCAGGCAGAGCCACATGGAGTAACACAACAGTAGTGCCTCCGTGACTTTCTGGGTCTGCTGTCCCGGAGTGAATGCTTGGATGGCTGTTTCAGACTCATGGGGTGCCTGTTAACATTGCAGATTCCCAGGCCATATGTGGTCATATTTGGGAGCTGTTAACTTAAATAAATGAGCTGTCTTTAGCCAACAAGTTTTAATTATATAATACCACTTAATTTCTTCATACACTCTGTATTGGTATACATAGACTCTGTTTAGGTAGTATAGTGTGATTTAAAAAAAAAAGAAAGAAAGAAAGGAATTGGCATAGCCAGGCGGTGGTGGCGCATGCCTTTAATCCCAGTACTCGGGAGGCAGAGGCAGGTGGATTTTTGTAAATTCAAGGCCAGCCTGGTCTACAGAGTGAGATCCAGGACAGGCACCAAAACTACACAGAGAAACCCTGTCTTGAAAAACTTGAAAAAAAAAAAAAAAAAAAAAAAGGAATTGGCTGGGCATGGTGGTGCATGCCTTGGATCCTAGCACTTGGGAGGTAGAGGTAGAGGTAAATGAATATCTCCAGGAGAGCAGCCTGGTCTACAAAGCTAGTTCCAGGACAGTCAGGACAACAACAACAAAAAAAGAGTGAACTAGGAAAAAAACAACCTAACACACACCTGATCTGTTAAATTAGCTACTGTTAAACAAGCTTTAATGATTGTTCAGGAAACAAGAGAAGCAGAGCATCTCTCCGTGTATCCGAAGGCCGTTTGGATCTCCCTCCGTTTGCTCCTCCCTTTCTCAATTGCGCTAAAGATTAGCCTACTGATTATAATCTTTGCAGGCCTCCTGCTGGCCAGGGCACCAGGGCCTCTTGAACAGGCTTACGTTTGTTGAGTGTTGGGCATCGAGGACTGATCTGGATGAGGCTTACTTAGCTCTTACCATCCTGCAGGTATCTCGTGGTCCATCAAAGAGACTGCTGGGAACAGCGGGTCAACCCCTGAAGGACGGGAACAGCTAAAGGGCCGGAACAGCTTCTACACACAGCTCCCCAAACCTACTTCTACCTACTCCCTGAGCAGCTTCTTTAAAGGTAAAGAGTGGTGGGTAAGGGACAGGGATGTCCTTTGCCTTCATCAGGAAAAGCCTCGGGCTGATGTTTTCATTGACTGCGGAATTCTCATTTGAGCAGGCAGTTTAGTACTAGGAATGGGAGGAATGAGAAATTCCCAGGTATTAGCCTGGGTTTGTAAACATGAATGAGATTGACAGCCCTATGTCAGGTACCGAAGAAATCTGCCTAGATCAGTATTCCTCCTTGCCTTTTATGCCATCCTCTAGGGAACCTTTGTGTGTCCCTGGTGGGAATGTATAATTGTGCAGCAGCCACTGTGGAAGTTAGCGTGGCAGTTTCTAAAAAAGTTGAACAAAGGATTAGCGTGTGAACCAGTATCACTTCTAGGTAATTAATAAAAGAATTGAAATAGGCACTTGAGCAGATGTTTGTATGCTAATATTTGAAGAAGCATTTCCAATAGCCAAAAAGATCTAAATACTGTGTATGTCCATTTTGGGCTAAACGGATAAGCACAACATGGAATACAGATGCAATGGACTGTTAACTTACATGAGAATGAAAGATATATGTTATAGTAGGGATGAACCGTAGGGAGTTACAGGGTACAATAAACCCCAAAAGAACAAATACTGTATTACCCTACTCATGTTGAGAGACAGTTTCCTCAGGGCTGGGCTGGAGGGAGTGGAGAGTTACTGGTTCCAGGCAGAGAGTCTCAGGGATGGTGAAAGTTCTGGAGCTGGATGGTGGTAGTCATTGTAGGACAGCGTGGATGTGCGTCATGCCACTGAATTCTACACTTAGATGAGGAAAGTGGCAAACTTTGTGCCCGCTTCACTAGCACATACACTAAATTGGAACGACATAGAGAAGATTAGCATGGCCCCTGCGCGAGGATGACACACAAATTCATGAAGTGTTCTGTATTTTTACATTTTATAAAACCAAAAAAAAAAAGTAAATTTTATGTTATGTATGTATATTTTACCACTCTTAAAATATTTCTCTCTGACCCTTGTTTTACTAGGACGTGAGATTTCTGAAGTTGAAAAAGACTTTATTTATTTTATTTTGTTTTTTTAATATCTATGAGTGTTTTGCCTGCATGTATGTCTGTGCACAATTTGCATACCTGGTGCCCACAGAGGCCAGAAGAAGGTGTTGGATCCTTCAAATTGGAGTTACACATGGTTGTGAGCCACCATGTGTGGGTGCTGGGAATCAAATTCTGGTCCTCTGGAAGGGCAGCCAGTGCTCTTAACTCTGAGCCATCTCTCAGCCCTGAATAAAAGCTTTTTAAAAGCTGTTTCTTCATATTGGATAGTAAGGCTCTATGTGCCCTGTGTCTTCAGCCAGGTTCAGGTGGTCTGACCTGAACCATTGACATCTTCCTGCTGTGTTCTTTCCCTCAGGCAGAACGAGACTTGGGAGTTTCCAGTCCCTTTCTGATGGTAAGCATCGGCCCCTTTCCTTGATTGCTGATTTATGGTACAGCCTGGATGAGTGGATTAACTTTCCTCTAGTGCCAAGGGAGGAGGGAGGAGTCACATAGGCTCCATTGCCGGGGTTGACTGCTAGGGCTACAGTCAGGAAAGAGAGGGGTTCGTGTTCTACTTTTGGCTGTGGAGGTCCCCAGGAGACAAACGGTTGTGTTGTTTTTTTATGTTTTGGTTTGTTTTGGTTTTTCGAGACAGGGTTTCTCTGTGTAGCTTTGGTGCCTTTCCTGGAACTCACTCTATAGACCAGGTTGGCCTCGAACTCAGAGATCCACCTGCCTCTGCCTCCCAAGTGCTGGGATTAAAGGCATGCGCCGCCGCCGCCACCGCCTGTTTTGTTTTGTTTTTTTTTTGGAGAGGTTTCGTTGGGTAGGCAGCACAGTGGGCAGAGGAACTTACATAGAGGCTGGTGTCTCAGTCTCTGTTCTGTTGCTGTGAAAAGACACCATGATGAGGCAACTATTGTAAGAGGAAAGTGTTTACTTGGGCTTGCTTACAGTTTCAGAGGATAGCCCATTATCATCATGGCAGGAAACATGGCAGCATGCATTGCGCTGGAGTAGTATCTAAGAACTACATCCTCATCCATAGGCAGACAGAGACTCTGGGCTTGGCATGGGCTTTTAAAACCTCAAAGCCTTCCCCCAGTGACACACCTCCTCCAACAAGGCCGTACCTCTTAATCCTTCTAATCCTTTCAAATAGTGCCACTCCCTGGTGACTAAGCATTCAAATCTATGATCCTATGGGGGCCACTCTTATTCAGACCACTAGACGGCTGGATGACCTGAGTTCGATCCCTGATCTCAGAGTTGTCCTTGACCTCCACACTCCTGGTATGGCATACACACACCTGCATATGTGCTTATGTGCACACACACACACACACACACACACACACACACACACACACAGAGCATATAGGAAGAAAGCAGGAAAGAAAAGAATGATGAGAAACAGGCTGCATAGCTGGGTGGTGATGGTACACACCTTTAATCCCAGTGCTCAGGAGGCAGAGGCAGGCGGATCTCTGTGAGTTCAAGGCCAGCCTGGGCTACAGAGTGAGTTCCAGGACAGGTGCAAAGCTACACAGAGAAACCCTGTCTTGAAAGAAACCAAAAGGAAAGAAAGAGAGAGAGGGAGGGAGGGAGGAAAGATGGAAGGAAGGAAGGAAAGAAGGAAGGAAAGAAAGAAAAGAAAGGCTGTACATCCAGTGCCTTCTAACCTGGCTTCTGGTTCCTTTTCAGCTCTGTCAGACACACCTGCCAAAAGTTATGCTCCAGAGCTGGGGAGGCCTAAAGGGGAGTACAGGGTGAGTTATAGAATTTCTCTTCCTTTCCCTCTACTGCTTACTTGATTTTAAAATTACATTTATTTATGGTGTGTGTGCATGTGCGTGTGCGTGTGCGTGTGCCTGTGTGTGTGTGTGTGCGTGTGTGTGTGTGTGCGTGTGTGTGTGCGCGCGCGCGCATGCGTGCATGTGCACGTGTTGGCCACACGCCAGGTGCAGATGTCAGAGGACAACTTAAGGGAGTTGGTTGTCTCCCTGGGTCATTAGGTTTGGCAACAAGTGCCTCTCCCTGCAAAATCATGCCACCAGCCTTGATTTTGTTTTTCTGAAATCTGGTCTCCCCCTGTAGCCCAGGCAGTCATCAGATAGTGTGACACTTACGCAGTATAAAGTACCTTGCTTAATTTTCCCAACTCTGAGCAGCTGTTACAGTCATGTGTCACAGAATGACAGGGATGCCTTCTGGGAAATGTGTTGCCAGGCGGTCTCATCTTGGTGCAAACATAGGGTGTGTTCACACACACCTAGATGCTGTAGCCTGTATTCTACACCTGTTACCTGAGGGTGTGACCCCGGTTGTGGGTTACTGTGCCCATGGCTATAATGACAGGTGTTTGTGTATGTAACTGTAGGAAAGGTACAGTACAGTACTAGGGAAGGGGCTGGAGAGGTGGCCCAGTGGGAATGAGTGCTTGGTGCACAAGCGGGACGACCTGCATTTGTATCCTCGGTGCCACATAAAAAGCCAGGCATGATGAATGTTTCTCTAGTCTCGGTGCTGCGGGGGCACGGACAGGAAGATTGCTGGGCTCAGTGAGAGAGAGAGACCCTGTCTCAAGAGAACAAGTGGAGAGCTGATAGAGCAGGGTATCCTCCTTTAGCCTCCACATACGTGTGCATGATTGTGTAACACACACACACACACACACACACACACACACACACACACACACACACACTACCAGACAACAGGAAACTTTCAGTTCCACCTTAATCTGTTGAACTGCCGTTGTATATGCATTGGCACGTGAATGTATTTCAGCCTCCGTTTAGAGATTAGAAACCGGTCTCGTAACAGTAGTCCTTAGCTGGGTTCCCACAGCTGGGAAAGGGTAGACCTTCCACTCAAAGTCTGTCTTTTTCTGACACAGGCCTAGCATGCTTCCTTGCCTTTGCTGCTGCCTTTTGGGAGTTTGCCATGAAACTAAGTGACTGTCACTGTAGTCTGGGATGGTGGAGGTCAGACTCCCACAAAGCATACTAAACAAGGAAAATGATTCAAAGGGAAGACACTATATTCTAAGACCAAAAGGTGGCTATGTGTCGAATGTCTCCCCTTCTCTTGGCTAATGACACTGAATATTGGGGTGTCAGATGTGACTGGTTGCCTATAGAGTGTGGAACCGTGAAGCAGCAGGCGGAGGGTCCTGGGCTTCGCTATTGGTGTGTCCCTCTTCAGGCCACCTGTCCCTGCCTGTGTCCCTCTTCAGGCCACCTGTCCCTGCCTGTGTCCCTCTTCAGCCACCTGTCCCTGCCTGTGTCCCTCTTCAGCCACCTACTCCTGCCTGTGTCACTCTTGCTGTAGAAACTCAGACCAAGACCAGACTCAGAACAGGACCATTCCAGTTTTATGTTTTTGATCAATTCTTCCCCATTAGAGTCTTGATCCCATAGGTCAAAGATTGAATTTGAGGCATAGAGCTGGTACACTAGTCTTTCTGAGCCCATAACGTATGGCTCATGTGTTGCTCATTTCCAGGATTATAGCAACGACTGGAGCCCCAGTGACACAGTGCGACGCCTACGCCGGGGCAAGGTAAGGCTGCTGCACAGAAAATTCTCGAGGAGTCTTTGGCAGGGTGGGGAGCATGTTCCACAGGACGGATTTCGTGACGACCTCTCCAGTTCCCATTTCTGAAGTGGAGTGGTTTTCAGGAGCAAAGCAAATCCACTAAGATTAGCAGCCAGCTGCCGAGTCTTTGACTCTCTGGACTTTCGAGTTGCTTTGCCAGCATGGGGGGAAGCCGTTGTGGATGATGCGGGCATGTGTGGTAGAGCACACCTGTAGTCCTAGCACTTGGGTGGCTGAGGCAGGAAAATGGCAAGGGTAAAGCCACCCTGGGACGCATGGCGAGCTTGAGCCAGCCTGGGTGCACAGTGGAGGCCTTCTCCCAAACTTGCTCTTTTCCCATGAGAAAGACAGTGAGAGTTAATTTTTGTACATGGTGTGGGATAAGTGTTGAGGTTAATGTTTTTTCTTTTTTAATATAGATACCAATCTTTCTTCGCACTGTTGAAAAGACTTTTTCTCGTTGAAATTTGGAAGTATGTTTTTTTTGAAAATCGGTTGATTATGTAGTGACAGTCTTTCTTGTGTGACATTCTAGGGAAGACCAAGCTACAGTGGCTGAGAGCAGATGAGTGTTTTGGTGGGCTAGGAACAGGAGGGCATTGATGTCAGCATGGACGGGGTGCTGTTTAAGGGTAATAGAAGTGTTCTGTGTCTGTTGTAGGCACTTTCAAAGCTGAGCTATACACTCGCCTAGGGTGAGTTTTATTGTATGAAAATTACACATGAAGGAAAAGCAAGTGATCATCTGTTGGCTTGGCCAAGACTGGAAGGCTTTGGTGTCCTGTAGGGCATCACATTGCACTAGGTAGGGTGTGGTGGGACCTGAGGACTCACAGCACAGAGACCAGCGTGTGACTATAGAGGTTCCCTCTGGGTGCTTCCAGTCACTGTCAGCCTTCTCTCACTGCCAGTGACAAAGGAACGGGGGCAGCGGCTCCCTTACGGACTCGGTGTTCTTACTCTGCAGGTCTGCTCACTAGAACGATTCCGCTCCCTACAGGACAAGCTGCAGCTCCTAGAGGAAGCAGTAAGCATGCATGATGGAAACGTCATCACTGCAGTAAGTGTGAGCTTTGCTAGCAGTTGTTCAGTAGCTCCTGAAAATTCAGTCAAAGCTGGCTTAACAGTGGGTCGCATGTCAAGAGCCTGGCTTTCTCTCTGAGGCATAGCGTTCTCAAGAGCTGTGCTCCCGACTCAGCCGGTGGGACATGCGTGCCATGCGGAACTGCTAACTGTTCCTGGAAAACAGAAGGCTGCCTGCTCTATCTTATGCAAGGTATTATGGCAGTGGAACTGTGTGAGAGTAGTCTCTCAACAGACAAGAAGTGGAGTATCTCTCAGCCAATGTGGACACAGTGGGCATGGGCATGTGGACACCTAGGACATGGCTCAGTTCCAAATGTCTGTTCTTTCCTGCTGTCCTACAGAGAGGGCATGCTCTGCCTGCAATGATTGGTTGGTGGACTTTCTCTGTCCTGCCAGTCAACTCTATCCTTCCAGCTAGCTCCCAAATAACCACAGAGACTTATTATTAATTATAAATGATCTGCCAATAGCTTAGGCTTGATACTATCTAGCTCTTACATCTTAAATTAGCCCATATTTCTTATCTATGCCCTACCACATGGCAGTACCTTTTTTCAGTATGGTGTGTTCCTCTCCTGCTTCTGCATTTGGCTGGCGACCCTGTGGCTCCTCCCTTCTTCCCAGAGTCCTCTCAGTTTGGCTCTCCTGCCTTAACCTCTTCCTGCCTAGCTATTGGTCAATCAGATCTTTATTAACAGTGATACATCTTCACAGTGTACAAAAGGTTTATTCCACAGCAATGATTCCTCACAAGTTGCTGGCCTCATTCCTACACATGAAGTAGTCAGGGCAGCCTTTGGGTATGAAAGAGTGCACAGTCTTTGTCACCTTTCTTCTAGGTTCTGATCTTCCTGAAGAGGACCCTAAGCAAAGGTGAGCATGGTTTGAAGGAAGTCTCCACTCAGCAACACCCATGGCTTTTATATCAGAATTCACCAGGATCAAGTCTGGTTCAGAGCTGGGGTGGCCTGTGACTTAAGAGCATCATACCTCTGAGGGCAGCCTTTAGGGTGGGGGCAGTATTAGCTACTTCTCTCTGTTGGGAACACTTGGGCTGTGTGCTTGAAGAAGTGAGAAGCACCCGCTGTTAGTATTATTGAGAACTCAAAGGCTGGCTGAGTGACTATGTGTTGCTCTAGAGCAGTGGTTCTCAACCATATCAGACATCCTGCATATCAGATATTTACATTATGATTCATAACAGCAAAATTACAGTTATGAAGTAGCAACGAAGTGATTTCATGGTTGGGGGTGACCACATGAGGAACTGTACTAAAGGGTGCAGCATTAGGAAGGGTGAGGACCACAGCTCTAGAGCACAGAGGCTGTTGGTGATGGTGCGTTGAGATCAGAAGAAACCACCATTAGCTGTTGCTGGGCTTTCAGGAGATGCTGTGGATGCGTGAGTGGAGAAGCCAGTCTCGGAATCGAGTGCCAGGTAGCTTTCCTTCTCTCCTCACCCACCTTCTTCCTACATGCAGAGATCCTCTTCCGAGAGCTGGAGGTACGCCAGGTCGCCCTGAGACATCTCATTCATTTCCTTAAAGAAATAGGGGACCAAAAGCTGCTTTTGGATCTCTTCAGGTAAGAGCTGGGCCTCTGGTCTATGAGGTGTCTTAGGTGCATTTTCAGAGCACTTGGAGCTGGGGTGTGCACAGAAAGTGAAGACACTGTCCTGTTCCAGAAACACCTAGAAAACAAGGTCTTGAGGTGTGGTGGGGTATTACATCATCACTCCGGCTGGCAGTATGGCAGGGGTGTTAGGAATCAGGCCCCAGAGTCAAACATGCCTGGACTGCATGTGTGCTCTTAGGTGTGCCTGTTTTCTTGAGCAAGTCACTAGACTTCTGAGAGTGCGCTTTTCTCCTTGTAAAATGGAGGTGGTGATGTCTGCCACACAGGGTAATGAAGACTGAGTGGGTAGGCTAGCATTAATCTGTTGTATGAGTGTTTGCTAAGCGTTTTCTTATGAAACACGGGTTAAAGGTCCCCTCCTCTTGTTCACGTGATGCCAGTGAGGAGCACCGTAGAAAAGAAGGGGCTGTAATTTCCCAGTCCGGATCCCCATGGAAGTCTCACAGCAGCTTTAGGGGGCTGGGTGAGAGGCGGGCTGTCTGGTGGTGGCGGCCTTCTGCCGTCTTTCCTTCTCTCGTTCCCCGCGGTGGGGATGAGTTCTTGTTCTTGGATGAAACTGTAAGCGTGTTTTATCCTTTCCTTAGGTTTTGTAGCCCAGAGTCATTCACTTACCCTGTGGCCAGCACAGTGATGAGCTGTCCTAAAGACTGATGTGGGAAAGCAGTGTACCCGGTTAGGCCAGAAGGACTTTAAAAAGAGGACGTGCTCACAGAGGCAGGCTGTTTGCTGTCTCTGGCTTCCCTTTCCAGTCAAGGAAGTCCTGTCCAGCATCACTTCTGTATCAAGGCGGTGTTGTCAATTATGGTCTATTCAGAATAAGGAGGAAACAGGCCAACTACATTAGACTCTATACGTGAACGAAATAAAGAATTGTGTGGAATGTCTGTTCTCAAGATTGTTTTGACAGAAAACAGTGTTTTGATTTTGAGTAAAGAAACATGGACTAGGGCAGTCTGTTTAAGCTCTTAGTGCCCTGCCCTGTGTTTTTCATTTAGTTAGGACACAGAGAAAAGTAGATCCCTAAGTCACCAAATGTTTTGAAGGGATGGAGGTGGAAGAATTGTAAGATTAGGGTACCTCATTATGTAGAGACGATGAGTGGAACTGTGTTTCTTCTAGAGCTTGTCAGAAACGCCGCTCCTCAGTACATTAACTCTCCTGCTTCCTTCTGCTTTCCCAGGTTCCTAGATAGAACAGAAGAGCTGGCGGTAAGTGTGGTGTTGTTTCTGTCGGGAGTCTGTTTACCAGGCATCTAAGCTAAAACCCAGCCTAGCCGCCAAGCTCTCCTGCCAATTGAATTGTTTCCTGTTCTTTGTAGATTAGATCTAGAAGACAGGTATCCAGGAAATGACACAGCCCACCATATTCCCCAAACACACACATAATCATCTACAGTCCAGGAGAACTCTCTGAGAATAAAGGATTTGGGTTTCTAGAGCTTCAAGCTGTGAAGATGGGGAGATCTGATTTATCAGGGGATAAAGTGCTTGATATGCAAGCATGAGACCCTTCGTTTGGATCCCCAGGACCCATGTAAAAACTGGGTGCAGTGGGTATGCATCTATAGGCCCAGTGCTGAGGCAGTGGAGACAAGAGGATCCCAGAGGCTTGCTGGCCTGGTAGTCTGCCTTCAGGAGCAGTGAGAGACCCTGGCTCAGGATCAGGTGGACGCACTGAAGAGATGGCTCAGAAGTTAAGAGTGTGTATTGCTCTTGCAGAGGACTGGAATTCTGTTCCCAGCACTTGTCAGGCAACTCATAACCATTGTAACTCCAGCTCCAGGGGTTCTAATGTCTTCTGGCTCCTCAAGCATGTGTGTACATACTTAGAATATATCTATAAAGAGATAATGTGGAGAGTAATAGAGAAAGAACCAGATACTGGCCTCTGGCTCCTACACATATATAAACACAGGCAAGTGTGCACACACACACACACACACACACACACACACACACACATTCACTTAGCACTCTCTTTCTCTGTGGCAGGCGTGTGTGTGTGTGTGTGTGCGTGCGTGTGTGTGTGTGTGTGTGTGTGTGTTGTGTGTGTGTGTGTGTGTGTGTGTATGTGTGCCTCTTTGTGCTATACCTCTGGATGCTGTCCAAGCTCCCTCTCTTCTTAGGAGACATAATAGCCTAAAATTCTTCTCTGGTTTTTTGTAGCTAACCCATTATCGAGAGCATTTAAACATTCAGGACCCTGAAAAACGAAAAGAATTTCTTAAGACTTGCATTGGGTAAGTGTGGGGAAAGCAGTCTTATGTAGATGTAGTCAGGAGAAGAAAAGAGGATGGAGTGGGTGGTTCAGAAGGGAAAGGCTAACAGTGAGTCACATGGCACTATTGAAAGGTCATCCCCTCAGTGGCTCCCAAATACTAGTCTCCAGCCGAGTTGTCACTGGTAGAGTTAACCTGGGGTAGACTCTTTCCCTAAAGCTGAATGCACTGGACTGGAAAGACTCTTTTGTTCTGGGACTAGGTTTCTCACGTATCCCTCCTTTTAGCAATAAAATTGGTGGTGTTTTTCTTAATGACTTAGTGTAATCAAGTTAAAAAGTGACTTTTTATGGACCTTGTGCATTTTTCCTGTTACGGGTTTTGAAGCCCACAGTCAGGACTGCTGCTGTAGTGTGAGCTTTCATCCAAACACAAATCCTCCTTGTAACAAACAGAGCCCAGATGTTACTGTTCTTCTGATGGGATGCTCCCTGCTCTGGGAAGCCCCAGATGTTACTGTTCTTCTGATGGGATGCTCCCTGCTCTGGGAAG